CTGCGCTTCCAAACATATTTTGACAAATTCTCGATTACAAATTTGAAACCTGAACAAAAGAACATCCTGGAATGGCTAATAGATGGTCTACATTGTATGGATTCAGTCGTTAAACCCGTAACTATCGTTCGAAAGTAAAGTTTTCGAGGTTGCATGATTAGAAATCACATTCCGACTGTCACTTTCATAATCTGGCAAGCGATACTCTGATTGGTACGATGAAAGGTCGTTCTGACGTGACCCCTAATGGGATGTCCTCAGATCTTCGTTTAGCGGTATGGATTGACCAGGGAAGAACGTTGGCGTTGTACATATTCAGGAAGTCCTGGACGAGCCTTGCAGTGTGTGATCTAGCGTTGTCATGCTGCAGGAGTGTTCTCTGTTACTGCTGGCGAAGAAATGGAACATCATCTCTGTATCGCTGGCCGTTGAGGTTGCCACGGATGATGACAAGTCTCGTCCGTTGGTTGCCACAAATGCCAACCCAAACCATCACACCACCTCCCCCATAGGGATGAACTTCTTGAATGCAGTCTGGCGCCAAACGTTCTGCCCCTGCGACGGTATACTCGAGCTCGACCATCATTGTGAAACAGCTGAAACCTGCTTTTGTCAGAGAAAAGGACTTTCTGTCATTCACGGACATGCTAACGTCCTACTGTCCTGGCTCATTGCAGGTTTCAACGTCGATGTTCCCGGGTCAATGTCATTCCACGGCATCGACGGCGAGCACTAATACCTGCGTCACGTAGACGTCGTAGCACCGTGCGTCGACTGATACGGTGTCTTAACGCCTTTTGCTACCATTTCCGTCGTCGTGACGTGGCCTGTTAGGTGTCCTGTCTGACGACCGTTGCCCGTATTCAGTTTAGGCTTCTAGCAATCTGGATGTGGTTGGCTCTTTTCTGCTCTCTTTGTTTGGCAGTAAACTGTGGCATGTCTTTGGTGTTTTTCATTACATGTGATGTCTTAGCAACGGTTCTTCGCCTTTTTATACACATTCAGCACGTGCAATTTTACGAATACCTGGAAAAGCTGTTGGGTGACTTCTAGCTACTGCACGTGCATCATTACGGCCAACGCGTTGCAATTGCCTTTTGGAGATTGATTTTGTAGTTCTTGAGCAACTGTTGCTCACTTTAATAGTTTACGGACAAAATCAATCTAAAAGTGTATACTTTCTTTTGTCTGAATCGTACAACGGACACTGCTTTAAGCAGACATTTGTTATGATTACGGAAATGGATTTTGCCATTATTTAATATGCTCAATCAAGGGGCTGTTGTTTATTTGCGTCCACTCTACATTATAATAATATGTAATTTTGACTGACGTTTGTTGTTTAACGCCGCACTTAGCAATATTCCAGCTGTATGACGGCTGTTGTAATGTTGAATATGTGTTTTGTGATTATTAAGATAACGTTATTTCAATCTACTTTCAAGCACAAGAAGAGATTTTCATTGGTGTGTATAAGCGCGTTTATTCTGGATGGATGTACATGGATGGCTCTCATGTCAGCTACACAAATTGGGCGCCCAAGGAACCTCATAGTCATGGATTTTTTGCGCTACTGGCGAAAACGAGTGGTTACAAGTGGAAGACAGAATTTCGTTCTGAAAAAGGAGCTTGGATTTGTCAAAAAAAGAGACTGGACTAACCTGATATCGATGTTACCGACGGAGGATGATTGGGTTTGTATGAAGGGACAAACGTTCTTAGATCCGGGTCTTTAGCTGTGCTCCAAATATATAAATATGACACACCCATGTCAACAGGGCAGGTACTCGTGTATGTTCTGAGAATTCCTCGCTAATGTTATTGTATCAAGGCAGTAAAGTGGGCATAATTCATTTGTTGAGTACAGTTGTGGTGTTAAAATATTTGAAAAATGTTATTTCCACAAATGTGTTCATCTTAGAAGGTCAAATGTCGGTTCAAATATGTTTTATCAAAGGACTAAATGGTACTATTTCTGTGATATGATGTGGTGATGGTGGTGGTGGGTGTTGTAATAACTGGAATAAAGTTTTTATTATTATCATTATCATTTACAGATTAAAATAAAAAATGCAGCAAAGAGGCTTTGCCATGTTTTTCCTTAATCTTGTCAATCACATTAGTGTCAAAGGGGACAGAAAATTCAATGATATAAATGATTTCATTGGATTTATCAAAAAGGACAAGATCAGGTTTGTTGGCCTGGATACGTCTTAGGCTGTAGATGTGCCTATTCCAAAGAATTTTGTATTATTATTATTTACAGATTTAAATTTTAAAAATGCAGCAAAGAGGGTTTGTGTGATCCTGGCACAGTCAGGCTGGTTAGGCTCATCATCAGCTCAGGGCCCTTGCCCCCTCTACACGCAGCCCAGAAAGAGAATGGAACTTCTCACAGGAAGCGCTGCCTCGTCAAACCCACCCAAACCTTTTCGGAACATGTGACGACTACCCAACACTGCAGCCTTCTGCATTACCCAGATTTTCAGAAGGACTATATTCCTGGTAGCAAACCCGGGTATTTATTGGATTTATCAAAAACGACAAGATCAGGTTTTTTGGCCTGGATACGTCTGAGGCTGTAAATGGGCCTATTCCAAAGGATTTTGTATGTATCAGTTTCCATGACGCCTATTATAATGTCGATTTCTAATTTGAAACAATATGTATATCCTGAAATTTGTCCGTAAAAGAACTTGTGTGAAACAAAAGAACAGGTGGTATTAAGTCAACACAATTCACTGGGTTTACAAATCAATGCAAATTACTACACAGCAATTACAATGACAGACCACAATAGAGTGGTATTACAATATTCCATGGCAATATCAAACAATAAAATATAGTGGGGATAGCCAAAGCTAGTGACAATAATATATTTACCCAAGGCCGACAGTGGTCAGGCTTCCGAGACGGGCCTAGGCAGAAAGCTGGTCTTGGTGTAATGACGTGTGAGTGAGTGAGTGAGTTGGGTTTAACGCCGCTTTTAACAGTATTCCAGTTATATCGCGGCGTGTCAGCTTAATGTGGGAGAAAAGCCCGAAGTGAATCAGGTCTCAGACGTTTACCACTTCGGTGAAACCCACGAGCACGGGTACGATGCTGACAAACCTAGAAACAAAATCGGGGCGAACCGGGATTCGAATCCACAATCATAGGTTTCTGGCGTGCCCAAGGGACGCAACTCTGCACAGCGAATCGCGGCGCCTTAGACGACGGAGCCACCCGTGTGAGAGATGCGAGAGGCATGCTCTTATCCTCTTATATACAGTCTAAATAGGTTCTGGAAATTTCCACACAGTGCCATCGCCTCACAGAATATTCCACACGTTTCCATAACGCTCTATATCAGTCCACGGTATTTCGGATGTTTACACATCCCAATACAAATGTCCAAGTGCAATGCAATGAACTTCTATCGAATCTTAACAGTAACAATGTCACACAACTAAATTATTTAACAAGAAAATACACTGACATATAACATTATATTACACATTTATATACCGCAGGTTACAAGGTACTGCCATCTGCACAAATGCGGTTTTATTTGTTCTCCGACCAGTGGATCCGTTTACGTTCCAGTTACCATTCTCAACTCCCAGGAGAGTATACAAGCTGCCTACGGGCGGTCGGTGGTTTTTACGTCTAATTGATATTTCGGGTACCCACTCCCTGCTGGGTGAACAGAGGCACATGTGAACTAAGTCACTTGCCCAGGGTGACACAGCACGCTTTGACACGTGTTTCGTATGGTGGCCGAGAGGGGGCATCGCTTTCTCGCTTTATCGCTCTATCGCTTTCTCGCTCTATCGCTTAGATAGAAAGCGATAGAGCGAGAAAGCGAGAAAGCGATATTTCCCATAATGCCGTACATTAAAACGGTTTTTGCTGACATTTAGTGATCCATTCCTGTAATTCTCACCGCTATTTTGCCTCTCATGATTAGATTTTTTAAACATCTTGTAATAGATAAATATGTTTCAAAATACACACGTAATTTTTTCTTGTTTAGCATGTATATTTTCTTGTAGTGTTATAAATAAGCAAGATTCAAAGAAATGATGTTTCCCTCGTTTGAAGTAGTGAATTAGAGGGAAACTACTTTCTCCTAGTGGTACGTTCTATAATCAAGGGAGGTAATAATGCCAGTAGATGGCGCTGATATTTGGGGCTATATAAGGGTAGGATTTTATGATGTCGCCTCTCTCGCTTGCAATCACGGCAGTTCAATTAACAACATGACTGATGAATCAACCGCGGCAAAACTAGACGCCATCTTGGTTCAGCTTAATTCAAACAAGACAGAAATTGAATTGGCAATCGATTCCAAGATATCAGCAATACAAAAAGAGTTTCTGCAGACATCTGAAGACGTAAGAAAAATAAAAGCCGAAAAAGAATACAGCTGGTCACGGGAGGGAAACAAAATTCAGTTTGGCTTCAACACAGAGTGTGTTGACGGGTTGAATAAAATCAGACAGTTAATGTACTCTGGAACTTTATTAGAAGCAGATAGTGCTGTTGGTTCAGAGATCCAGAGAATACAGCAGAGTAACAAGCTAATCAAGATTGCAGATTCATCAAAAGGTGGTCTGGAAACAGTCCGAAACTACGTGACAAACGATCTAGCAGATGATTCTGACGATGATAAGAAAATTACAAGGGCTGATTTAAAAGCAGTGAGAAAAATCAAGCAAAAACGAAATCGGAATGCGCCGTATTCGACAAGGTCAAGAGCCAGGTCCACGACTTTCACTACACAGCCCGTGCAGTTTGCTTTACCTGCTTCTTCTGGTGTGCAGTCGATTCCACCAATCAACAACCAGCTTTTTCGAGGCAAAGGTCAGCGACAAGGATCATGTTTTCACTGCGGAGAATTCACGCACTTCAGAAGAGACTGTCCCTATCTCAACGCAAATGTCCAGACTGCAAGGATGTCAAGCAGCGTCCCGTCAGCAACCGCCACGCAGTAGAGAGGGCACATGCCAAGGTCTATCAGTTAAGTGTTCATCTACACAATGTTTCGATGCATGTAATCTTAAATTGACTGATAATTACTTTGAATATGAGCAGGGTGCTGCAGAAATTGTCGTTAAAGGTCGTTTGAAACAGAATGAAAACTTTTGGCAACAGATAGGTGCAAGTGACTTTGTTTTAGATATAATCAAAAATGGATACAAAATTCCATTTTTGTGTATGCCACCCAAAATGTACTTGCATAATAACAAGTGTGCCTTAAATAACGCTGATTTTGTGTGTGAAGCTGTATCAGAGCTTGTCAAGAAACAACTAGTTGTTGAGTGTGATATCCTGCCGTATGTTGTTAATCCTCTATCTGTCGCTATACAGTATCGGGTAAGAAACGCTTGATTTTAGACCTGAGTATCGTCAACAGGTTTGTGCTCAAAAAGACTTTGAAATTTGAAGATTGGAAAACTGCTTTAGAATATATCAGTGCAAATGATTGGCTAATCAAGTTTGACATCCATTCAGCATATCATCATATAGATATCTACGAAGGGCATCCTGACTTTTTGGGCTTTGCTTGGAATGCCCCTGATGGAAAAACACATTTTTATAAGTTTGTAGTACTTCCCTTTGGACTGACAACAGCTCCATACGTTTTTACAAAAGTCACTCGCCAGCTTGTCAAGAAGTGGCGTTTTGAAGGACATAAGATAGTCACATACTTGGATGATGGTATATTATCAGCAGAGTCAGAATTAAGAGCACTAAATTCAGGTTCTGTCATTAAAAATGACTTGATTAAGTCGGGGTTTGTACCTAAAGTTGAAAAATCTTTATGGGCACCTTCACAGTCTTTGGAATGGCTCGGTTTTCACATTCAGGCTACAAATATGACTATATCTGTACCTCACAGGAAGATAGTCAAGGTGAAGTGTTCAATTACTGACCTATTAAAATCCAAGTCAAAGAATGTCAAAGTGCGAGATGTAGCTTCTGTTGTCGGTCAGCTAGTGTCCATGAAACTGGTTCTGGGGCCGTTATCACAGCTTATGACAAGATCATTAAGCATGGACATACTTATTGTTTCTACTTGGCATAGTTCATTAAAACTTTCATGTCACAGTATTCATCAATTGAAATTTTGGCTGGGTAATATTGACAAACATTCTTCAAGAGCACTTGTTGATAAATCTCTTACTACAAGACTTGTTTATTCTGATGCCAGTGATAGTGGTTTTGGTGGGTACTGTGTTGAGATTGATTCTGACAAGTCCCATGGTCAGTGGTCTGCGAAAGAAGCTCGTCAGAGTTCTACATGGAGGGAGTTAAAGGCTGTTCACTTGACATTACTGAGCTTTATTCCCAACCTGAAGAGCAACCGTGTTATGTGGTGTACAGACAATACAAACGTTGTGTCAATCGTTGAGAAAGGCAGCATGAAAATACATTTGCAAACATTGGCTTTGCATATATTTGAAATATGTACAAAACAGTCAATACAGTTGTATATGCAGTGGATTCCACGATGTGATAATCAGACAGCTGACTATCTTAGCAGAATGATTGATTATGATGACTGGGGTATTTCAAAGACCATATTTCAGCAAATTGAACGGAAATGGGGTCCACATCAAACAGACAGATTTGCGTCATATTATAACACTAAACTTCAGTGTTTTAATTCCAGGTACAGCAATCCTGGAAGTGACGTTGTGGACTGTTTCACTGTCAACTGGGGTGGCTTTATGAATTGGGTGGTTCCTCCTGTATGTTTGATTCCGAGGGCAATCAAACACATGTCAGAATGTAAGGCTAAGGGTACTCTTGTGATACCAGAGTGGCACTCTGCTTGTTTTTGGCCAATGGTATGTCCTAACTCAGTATTCATTCCACAGGTGAGAGATTGGATGTATTTGCCACGATCGAAGGAGGCTTATGTTGCCAGTAGAATAAAGGGTGGCATGTTTGGGGAGAGAGATCTTTCAGATACATTTCGGACAACCTATAGTGATGAGATTGCTACACTTCCGAGAGGTGTCCGCGAATTAGCAGGGGCTCTGCCAGGCCTCTTAGCAGGGTGTAGAGCTGATTCTACAACAACAAAGTATACATATGGCTTTGGAGCTTGGAAAAGGTGGGCGATCGTCAATTCTATGTCTGTAAAATTGCCATTGTCGCCATTGCACTGTGCTTTATACCTGTTATCTGTAATTCAGCAGAGTGATTCTATATCTCCTGTTCAGACAGCGTTCTATAGCATCCGTCATGCTCATACTTGTATTGGTTTAGCAAGTCCAACTGATAATTCACTGGTGCGTAATGTCTTGGAGGCAGCAAGGCGAAAATTGGCTAAAGATGTATGTAAGAAGGAGCCAATTACCATTAGCCTGCTAGAAAAGTTGTATGATGGTAGAATGGCAGATCCATCACTGTATGATTTGAGAATTATGTCAATGTGCTTATTAGCCTTTGCTGGGTTTTTAAGGTCAGCAGAATTGTTGCAGATCACGAGATCAGACATTGTATTTTATGATGCTCATATGATGGTATTCATTGAGCAGTCTAAGACTGATGTCTACAGAGACGGGGCGTGGCTGGCTATTGGGCGGACAAACACCAAGCTTTGTCCAGTGGTATGTTTAGAGAGATATCTAAATAGTGCGGAGATAAGTCTCGATTCATCTGAATATATATTCAGAGATTTGTCCAAATGTATTGCTGGTTATAAACTTAGAAATATTAATGTACCCATGACTTATTCGCGTTTGAGGGAATTGTTCATTGAAGCATTTACGCCATCTGTTGACAATATAAAGAATTATGGACTGCATAGTCTTTGAAGTGGTGGCGCATCTGCAGCAGCTAATAATGGCATCCCCGATCGCATGTTTAAGAGACATGGTCGTTAGAGAAGTGAAAAAGCAAAAGATGGCTACGTGAAAGATAATCTTCAATTCAGGCTAAAAGTTTCACTTTCTCTTGGATTCTAGACTTTCTTTGAATCTCTGCCGTGTACCGCACAGCTGTTCCAGTGTATATTGTGTTGTGTTTAAGGTGATTATTAGAGTTTGGTGTTGTCTAGGAGAAATGATGTTTCCCTCGTTTGAAGTAGTGAATTAGAGGGAAACTACTTTCTCCTAGTGGTACGTTCTATAATCAAGGGAGGTAATAATGCCAGTAGATGGCGCTGATATTTGGGGCTAAATAAGGGTAGGATTTTATGATGTCGCCTCTCTCGCTTGCAATCACGGCAGTTCAATTAACATGTAAATGTATTGATGTTTGCTTCTTTCATTTTTATTATTCCGTTTCTAATATCTTTTTCATGTTTCAGGCATTTCGTTTTGAGATGTGGACGTGTGGCGGTGAGGCCACATTCTGTTATGGTCATCTGTCTCTGTTGACAGGCCATGTATGTTGATGATGCTGGAGAGCTGTTAAAATACTCATTGGTATAATCGTGTTTACTATCACATGTGAATTGTGGCTGCAGAGCCTTTAGAATACTTTGTATATATGTTTGCATTTCATTGGCTACACAATGTACGGTAGGCTGCAGAGCCATTAGAATACTTGGTCTTGGAAATGTTCGGTTGGCAGAACCATTATAATACTGCTGTATTGGGTGTGTGTGACCCATGTTAGATGAGTAAAATAAGGCTTTTGTGTATAATTTGTATTTGTAAAAGTATGTTGGACGTGTGTAAAGGGTAATTCAAATACTGTATACTCCCCAGTTACTGGTGCTGTTGCATTCGTAGGGAGAACACGGTTCCAGAGCTTTTTGTATTAACAAAAATTTTATCTCTGGTTTTACGTGTCGGGCTTCAGGTACCGTTACCATCTGTATGTTTCGATATGTTATATTCTATATGTTATAACACATGTTATAATGGTATATGGAGTGACGTGATGTCACTGTGTGTTGTGTCTTGCGTCTTGTGCTTTGAAAATAAACTGCCGTGTACCGCACAGCTGTTCCAGTGTATATTGTGTTGTGTTTAAGGTGATTATTAGAGTTTGGTGTGGTCTAGGAGAATACAGATAGTCACTGTTCATATTTTCATTTTGTTCACAGTATCATCCCCTCATTCCTCCATCAAACTGATAAAAAGGAGATCATATATTGACAAATAATTGTCAGTTTTATTAGCCAGTTTGTATTGTTTGCAACGTCCAAAGAATTATTTTTTTCGGTCATTAGATTTGGAATTGAAGCCGAATATGTGCTCGTCTGATTTCGGGATCACAATTATGTTCATTAAGTTGCATGCACATTATGCAAACAAAAGTTGTACATGTATACAGTTATGTTTCCTTTACAAAATACAGATGAATTAGATATGTCTCTACCTTAAGTCCAAATACGACTTTCGAGAACCCCATTCCTTGGACAACAGAAAGGAAATGCGTTGTAAATATTTTATAAAAACAACTCGTTTCTTATTATGACTTTCGATCAAACTGTCTTCGGGAATTAAATTTAATACTAAAGTGCTTGTAAAATATAGTTTAACTTTCCCGCCATGAAAGACTCGATATCCAATTATAGTATAGGCTCAGGCAGGAATATACATATTTATGTAGCAATTCTCTATCCATTTAAACTGTATGGTTAACAATTGTGCATTCTGATGTGAGTTATGTAGTTATCTACTACCTTTTTACACAGACAATGAGTCGCACACACACACACACACACACACACACACACACACACACACACACACACACACACACACACACACACACACACGGTGGATTGTTTTAAAATCACCTACGTCTCTACAGTTAAATTATGTTTCCAGTAAATAGTGAGAAAAGTTCAACATTACCTCCCAATTGCAGCAGATATCACATGCGGCCCCTATGGTGGTCAAGAGGGGATATTGCTTAACCGCGAGAAAGCGAGAAATCGATAGAGCGAGAAAGCGATGTCCCCTCTCGGCCACCATAGTTTCGGGAGTATGTACGTATTCGTGTTTCCACCATTTGGTCATCTACCATCGGACGAGTGGGTTCTTTTGAGTGCACAGGGGTTAGTGACAACACTGTAACGACCTGTAAACATTGTTGGTCCAAAGGCTGAATAACAATCCGGTCTGTAGCGGGATACTATCTCAGCACCTGGGGCTTGCTAGCCTGGCGCTTTTGACCGCTTGACCACTTCACCCTATAACTGGTTCGGCTAACTACTGTTCGCCAGACATGCTGGTAGTCTTGATGAAAACAGTTGTTAAATGTTCCGATCCTCTTTTCACAGAACAGAATTGCACGTTTTGAAGCCGATGCCAAAATAATAGTGTTATATGGCAGTGTATTTTATTGTTGGACAATTGTTTCTGTTCAGATTCGGTAGATCTCATTGCCTTGTAATTGGGCAGTGATTTGTAGTTAGGAATGTAGTACTAGTTAATGTAGGCAGTCGTCAGGAAGTTACTATATTTAGATGCTAATGTTGCGTGAAAACGTCCGGTATACCGTAGACTTAGGTTAAATATTCTGTAATGTCTCAGGGCCGCTTGATTTGTTATGGTAATGTGTATAAATTTCCAGTAGCTAGGTAGGTTGAGACCAGAGCATGCTTCTCGCATCTCTGTCAAGCATTTCATCACATCAAGACCAGCTTTCGTGTGAGGATCACCCATCACCCCTGAATCCCTGCCTAGGCCCGTCTCGGTAACTCGACCGCTGTCACCACTGGGTGAATTTATGGTGTCATCACTGACTTTTGCTATCACCAGTGTATTTTTGTATTTGATATTGGCCATCACATTATGTATTGCCATTGAATATTGTACTACCACTCTATTGTTTACTGCCATTATAATTGCAGAGTAGTAATTTGTATTGATTTGTAAACTTAGTGAATTTTGTTATACATTTCTTGATTGTATACCATTTGTTGGTTGTCTGTTGGTTTCACACTATTACGTAGTTTTATGACGTAGATATTTCTGGATTTACATATTGTTTCATTTTGGGAATCGACACGTAACACTTTTAATTAATAGCTTGCCATATTAAACACATTCATTTTCGATCACTTATAACTCTGGCGCCTTGTAAGCAAGCATCGTTTTCGATGTGCAACAAGACAGGTCACTCGGCTGTTGTGGTGTGTGGTATATGGTTATCTGGTTCATGAAACGCTTGGACAGTTTAATGTGAAGAGCACATTGAAAACTATTTTGTACACGGAAAATGATAGCTTGTGTAGGGTAATGAAGACATTTGATTAAATTTACACTGCGATAACAAATAAGAGCTGTATAAGATATGAAGAGATAATTATTCAAATATGAACCACTTTTACCCACAAATTGTTCGATATATGTCCTCAACAATCTCCAAAAAAATGTTTCACTACAACTACAGCTAGAAAAGCATGATCATATCATGCTGTATTTAACGCTAGACTGTAATACGAGGACATTTGCTTAAAACATATTTGTATGTCCATTTATATTTTTCACGTTTCTCTTTGTAACTAGATATGGATTAATTTTTAAAATTTATTTGTCACGTTGACTTTTACATCAGAAATAAAATATTCTATTAGTCAGGATTTGAACAAACGGATTAGACAATTCTTGCTATCATAGCGCCCAATTATCAGGAGTACTGGAGGGGAATTTCTGTGTCAGGTAAATGTGATATATTAAATTATAAGCTTAAGATTATGAAAACAAATCTTATCCACAACTAATGTATTCTTCTTACTCTGAGGACCCGTGACGATTCCGGGGTAGAATATGTCTTAAGCAACCCATGCTTGCCGTAAAAGGTGACTATGCTTGTCGTCAGGCACGCTGACTTGGTTGATGCATGTCATCGATCAAAATTGCGTGGATCGATGCTCATGACATTAATCACTGGACTGGCTGGTCCAGACTCGATTATTTACAGACCGCCGTCATATCGCTGAAATATTGCTGAGTGTGGCGTTAAACAACAAAACAACCAACAACAATCTTACACTGAGACTAGAATTTGTAACAAGGTGTTTGAAAGTTCAACAGCAGGTTATCTATTGATATAGACTAGTCGATGTATTAACATTTATTTACTTAGAAAGAAATGTTCCATGTGTTGACCATGTGTTGACCTGAGAAATTAAGTTCAGACTTACGCCTATTCTAATTAAAGAAAAGTCACCTTTTTTATTTAAAAAAGGTTCGCTTTCATCTGTCTCAAGTCCAGTCAGTCACCATTTGACCTACTAATTTAAGATACATTGTTTCCAGTTGAAATTGGACTTATTTCAGTTTTGCTAAAACGACGCTTTCATTTTCATCAGTTCTGCTTTTTACAGAGACTTCTTTCTTGTCATTTATCTTTTGCAAATATAACTCGCTTTGTCGTGTTGACCTGTTGTCACCCACAAGTAGTCGCTGGATCTCCCCAGGGCGGCAAAGCATGGCAAATGAGGTTCCTTCGGTGCCCATGAGGTGTAGTTGAGACGTTTTCCATCACAATTCTGCCAGTATGGAAAGTCACGATACACACCAATGAAAATGAAATCGTGTCCTGGAATAGATATAAGAAACATTGTTCCATGTAACCGTTTCTCACTAGATACAACGAACCTGAGGAGAGCAGGGAATGGTACGGTATATTACCTGTCAAATAATCTAGCTATCTGACTGGCAACATGGCAGCAAAAAGTCATGTTAAGTATAACCTCGTTTGTAAAGTTTGTTTGTTGGTTTGTTGTTTAACGGCGCACTCAGCAATATTCCAGCTATGTGACGACGGTTTGTAAATAATCGAGTCTGGACCAGACAATCCTGTGATTGATATCATGAGCATCGATCCACGAAATTGGGATCGATGACATGCCTCAGCCAAATCAGCGAGCCTAACCACCCGATCCCGTTAGTCGCCTCTTACGACAAGCATAGTCACCTTTTACGGCAAGCGTGAGTTGCTAAAGACCTATTCTTCCCCGGATCTTCACGGGTCCGTTTGTAAAGTAGTTTCTGAGATGTAAATTTTGTAACATCGCGAACAATGGCTCGATTGAATGTTTTTGATTTTTACATGATATAATTCTGCGTTTAAAGATTCAATCTGAATTTTCTGTTAGTGCCGCATATACTACCAATATATAACAGGACCGCCTCAATGGTCTAGTGGTAGAGCGTCCGCCCGGCGAGCGGAAGGTCGGGGGATCCCCGGCCACGTCATACCAAACGACGTTAGAAGATGGTACTTTTTGTTACCCTGCCTGGTTCTCTGCATTAAGGAGATAAAACAAGGACTGGTCGGCTAGGAGTCAGTATACTGTGTCTGAGTGGGGTATTTAAGATACACTTCGGCATGGTTTCTCACTGGGCTAGCACTATAAAATCAGCATCAGTCCGGACTAATACAAGCAGCCACACACACATACATGCCCGTCGCTATGTAAGCGCAATAATCTTGAAAGCGACGTTAAACCCCATTGCATCACACCCCACCTCACAAATATATAACACCCCAGACCCCTAAAGTTTCTGAGAAAATGTTTCAGCATTTCCAAATTGAAAATTCACAAAATTACATTGAACAGTTATGATTGTTATTAAATCAACATACTAGTACATACAACGTACGTCTCGGACATTTATCACTTGTGTCGTCTACAGCCTTGTTCCACAAAACAATCTTTGTGTGACTACCTACGATCGCTTTGTGGAAAAGCCTTGTTCAGAAATAAAACGACAAATCCCTATCCCTAATGATAAGCAATCTCTACTGTCCACTGTATGATCATGGGCATGTGCTTAGAAATCACTATCAAATAGTGTTCCCGAAAAAGTGAGCGCACCCTTCCCAACTGGTGGCATCCGTCACAAACACGTTAAAAGGCAAGTCAATTGTTCACCTTAATTAGACACGGAAAGCTATGGTACATGTCAAAATAGGGAATTGCATAGGACATCATTTCTGTTACTGATGCGTCGAATTTGGAAGCATCCTCCTCATGTCAGC